TATATATATATATATATATTATATATAGAATCTTAAATAAAAGTATTCATTTTTGACATTCATCATAAAATTCACAATGAAATGTAAGTAAGTAAAAAATATTCAACAATCAGCTAGAAACATAGAATCCAAATGACAGAGGTAAAGATCGTTAACTTGGGTGATTGAAAGAGTTTTTTTCCAAAAACAGACAACTGTCAATAATACTGTAATTTTTTCACAAAATCAACCTAAAATATACATTACTGATAAGTTTTATTAACTTTGAACCATCAAATAGTTTCTATATTTATTTAAAATAAGAAGCTACATTTCATAGTCTCTGAATGTGGAAATGCAACTAATTTAATTCATTTTATGTCATCCAAAAAATTTAAGATGGAGGAACAAGAAGAATAAAAACCTCAAACAACATGTATTTACTGTTTTAGTTTTCTGTAAAAGTAATAAAAGAAAATCATTTTATTGTGACTAATAACACTAAAAAAGATATAACTGGTGATATGTTTAAAACCTCAAACATTTGCTCAATAGTTTTAATAAGTGTAATAACATAAATGGCTGTGAAACTTATAAAATCACTGTCTTAAACTTTATTACTATTACTTCATTTTAATCATGTAAGGACCAATGCCATTAAAAAGTGGTTGAAATGTGAATCTAAAGTATTATAAATTAAATTAACTCACAAATGATGGATATGTTTACATACCTTCATTATCAGTGGGTTCACATAATGCATCACACTGAGTAATTTTTTGCTTGTCACAATATTAAGTGTAAAAATACTGAATCAAAACACTATATTCTAAGTATCCATGAATAGTTACTGGAATTAACTGCAATATTGTTGATTTTTGTTTACATTTTTCTTTGTTGGATGCATATATTAGATATAACCAATGGATTCACTGATCCATAAGAAAATTGGTGCAAAAACAGTTCAGAAAAATGTATTTAAAAATCTTATAAGGTTCATACAAACACCACTGGTAATTCTAAGATTAAACATTTAGTTTATGTTATTTGTTCCAAGTTCAATGGATATATAAAGTAAGTGCCAGCATGTATAAACCCCTATCCAGGAAAAAGAATAACAATTGCCTTTCCCTTTATTTTCCAGAAATCTTTAGTTTCAAAATGCTTTTACGTATGATATTCTTAACTTAAAGCAAAAATTCATGCATGTATTATTTTCTTAAACCCCATACCTAATATATGTAGATATCACAAACTAAGTCCTTCTATGGCATAATATATAACATATCTTTATTCATGCACTTAGGAAAAAATAAGTCCAGCTTTGAAATAGCTAAAACTGCACTAAGAGACAGCAGTACAATCTTACAGGTTTGACAAAGATCTACTTTTCACACCTGTAGAATGATTCATTAAGCTTCTCTTACTGACTTCCTGAAAATTTGGTTATATGTGGGGGATAAAAAAAGTCAGTAACTTTGGTTTTCCTTTTCTGTCAATATACAAAAATACTTGCCTAGAGTTGTAATATGGTTGTAAGTAAAGGAAAGTCTTTTGCAAGTTTGTTTCTCATGATCATTCATTGAAGTTATCTATTCAAATTTCCCTTGTCTTTGTCCTATGAACTTGTACTGCATCCTGTAACTATACATATTAAAGTTGATCTACCAATAAGGAGAAAATGTAATGTCCCTTGAAAATTACATGCTACTTATTAGCAGCACATTTTCTGCATTATTTAATACAAATATTTTTAGTGATCTGCAAAACATTTGTGTTCAAGGTCATTTTGTTTAGGATCTGTTGAAGAGTAAGGGTTTATGATGAAGAGGGGAAAATAACTGTTGTTTTTGTTGGATCTGAGGGTCTCATCTCAAATCCAAAGAAGGAGTTTCTAATCTTTCAACTAGATCAGAGAAACAAGTTACAACCTAGTACTTCCCAAGCCGCTGGTCAGGTTCTCTTTCCTGAATTCACCTACAGTGTGCTGGAGGAATTAACTGCTAATCTCTGCTCCAATGTGAAAGCCATTTATCCTGATATTGAGAGAGAAAAGGTCTCTACAGAACTCTTTGCTTGTTACCAGCCAGTGTCTGCTACTCCTCTGATGGTTAAGTATGAGGAGAAAAGAGTGTCACTGTAGGACAATGCCAATCACAAATGAGAGAACTAACAATTCCTGGCATGGCTGTGAGCCTTTGTGAGGTTGACTGATCACCACAATGAGAAACTACTATTCTAATCAGAAGTGACAACTATACATTCATATAAATTCTGAAACCTCCAGATACCAAAAGGAACAAGTGATTTTGGCACGTTATGGATGGATTGAGAACTGGGGCCAAGCATTCACCATTAAAATGCAATTTGTTTAATGCACTATTCCAAGCAAGATAGTCAATTCATCCTTGATACAGATACCAGTTGTAGTGGGATCAGTGGTAGTATCACAATTACAGGGAAAAGTATAGCATACCACAGAAAGTTTATTATTACAGTAGAACATGTTCCTGAAATAACCAATAATCTCCAAGAACCCACAAAGTATGATCACATATTAGGTTAAAATTTCAATGTTATTGTACAGCATTATCAAGAAAAGTAGCACTATAAAGCCAATGGACTTTCTAAACAGAATGTGACAGCCTGTCTACTTGTTGATTGTTCAGATCCTGTACATCAAGCACCTGAAAAAGTTATTGCTACAGAAAATGAATTACATATACTGTCAGGGTCAGATTAAGCTTACTGGAGCCCAGAGACTAAAGCATTTTTAGGAGCCCATCAGTGGAATTGTATACATTTTAAAATATTTTCAAGATCAGAGGGGTCTCTTGGATGCATCTCCATCAGTCCTTGTATTAATCAGCATTGTATACTGTAAAAACTTAGTAAATACTAGTAAATGACAAGTCATGAGTTCTGAGAGAAGCAACGAAGGGCCCAGATCTGGACTGAGCATTGCTTGCTTACTTTAGAAAAGATGAATTGCAGTCTTTGAAATTTGTGAACACAGAGTGATACATGTAACCTCTAACACTTATATGTGTAGTTAGAAGTACAAAATGATGTTTCATAATTCCTAGGAACCACATCACTGTGAATCTCAAGGTCTCTAATGCAGGAAACAAAAACGAGTAAGCATTACGATGTTTCTCACACTACAGCCAACATGTAAAAGTAATTTTTCTGGTAGCACTCTTATGTGGATGTTAAGATATGGTCTAAATACTGCACTGCATGTGCCATTCAGAGAAAATTCTGACCAAACTAAAGAAAACTTAGATAGAGCTGTACGCTCTCTTTTGCAAAAAATAGTCTGGATCTCTCCCAGAATTTGAGAATGATAAATGTTATGTAGTGTTCGTTACTGAACATTTATACCAAAAAAGCCAAATCTTATATGTTGTTTTATGTATTAGTCTGGCTCATTGCTGATACATTAGTTGAACAGTAGATAATATGATAGTATTTGATTCCAGATAAAACTGATTGGAATGAGCATATCAGGCAACACAGAAACAGTTGATTGACTGTGGCATACAACTTCTAGTGGATGTAAAATATGGTTCACCTCCCAATGCAAATACACCACAGTGTCTACTTGAATATGTGGAGTGGTTGAGGTCTGCATTAATTGATGCACATGATTTTGTACACCAACAGATATTCTATACTTTATGTGTTTGTTAAATGTTAACAGGTTTTATTTTTGTATTATGTTGTTTTATGTCAGGATTTACTGAGAGTTTTTTGTATGATGTATTTATTTATGTTGTATAAAGTTTAACATTGTCATTTCTTTCTCTTTTCTGTATTTGCTTTAAACAATTTTAATTACTGTCTTTATTGAATCTAATTTTGATGAATTTTAAAGTTTTTATGTTACATGTTGCCCCATGTAAGTGTCATGGGGTCTGGTGTTGTCTGGACATCAAGTTTTTACTGATGTTTAGTCTCTGCTGAGAAAACATTCTTAGTCTTTACTTTTGATGAAAATTACATTGCAATAAATTTATTCATAATGTTCCTAAAAAACAACTTTCAGCTATAATGAAAATACATGCACTGAAGAAAACATAAAAAAAAAGCTTTAACTAACAGGTAAATGCAAAAATGAACTTATCTTTCATAATGAATATATAATAATCAAATTATACACTACAAAAAGAGTCTTTAATATTCCTATGACAAATACCACAATTACCTGAACAAACATAACAGGAGCTTGTTCAATAGTATCTGTTGTGTAAATCACATCAAACTTAAGTTTATCTTGGCATTCTGGAATCCTGTGAATAGGAACAATCTCCAAAAAGCTGCCACTGGGAGAGTACCATGGTGTCAAGTACAAGGATTCCATAGGTTGATAAAGAACTCTTTTTCCTCTTGAATCAACATTAGGGTACTTGGTAGCCACAGCCTAAAGACCATATTTATTGACAGTTCCATTATTATGCTTTCATTAATTCACTGTATTTTAATAACAAAATGCCAAAAATTCAAAGCATGAATTACAATTGCTACTGCATTTAACAATACATCAATTAACATGACACTTGAATAACAATACAACAATTGTAGCTGAAATCTGGAGTAGCTATATTTAGTTACATGTGATTCCGGCTGCATTTTTATTTATCTAAATATCAATCATACAATGAAATTTTAGGTTTTCATACCGAACAATTGACAAAACCTGACCAGTATTGTAACAAACTTAGGTTGCTGAGATAAAGGCACATTGATAAGTTAGCTCAGATATTTCCAAAACCTAAAAAATTCTAAAGAAATCACAAAAGAAATAAAAATTGATCAATATTTTGGTCAAAATAAATTTCTTTGGGTGTTGAAGTAGACTGAATAAAAAGAAACATTGTTCAAATATTTTCTCATTCAAATTTTTGTAAACAATTATGGTATTTTTATATTTTGGTCAGATTATCACTGTATCTGTTTGTTAATTATGGTATAGTTCAATTATTGATAAAATAAGTTGCACTCTTTGTTGATTCAGCTTGCCAGATAAAGATACAGTCCAAATCAAATTACTGATGTAAGAAGAGATTAGCAAATTTGACAACAGTAATTCAACAAAAGTTAACACTTTTCTAATCTCACCTTCACACAGAAATGATATTCCCCTTGCACATCTGCCTAAGAGACTTGCATGGAACTAACCTTACGCTAACTCCCATCTAAATTCATGCATTTAACATGAACTGAACTGGTGTATGATGATGTCATCATGTAACAATAGAAACACAACACAACCTCCATGCACAGTAACTCTATACATGCACTTGCTCTCATGATAACTTCATTCTTAAAAAAGGCAAGAAAAAAAAGAGGTGCACTGGAAGTGGGGAGAACAGGTATGGATGTGTAAAGTGTTGAGTATCTATCAGAAATACATTTTCAGATTAGGAAATGCTAACTTCCAAGATGATAACACTTCCACACACAGAAATGCTAGAATCCCATGCTGATTTGATGGAGGGGACAATGCAAAAATTAAACCTAGAAGAATTTCCTTCAGAAAGTGCCAGAAGGGAAAGCCCATAACAAAGGCTCTAGAGTATACTCTTCACCCGAGATGAAAGGGAGGGAAAGGCAAAAGAGACTGAAGTGTCACAAGGATGGTCAGCATGTGATCATGGCCAACCAAGCACCTGCACACAAGTGGCTGGCGTGCCAATATGTGTAGTGTGATTAGGGCGTGATCAGACAGTACAGTGTGTCCTTACCTCAACTCTGCTGGACAGATTCTGGCTTCAGAAGGAGGGCACATTGGCTGTGAGAAGGGTGACCCATAGTACACGGACAATGTCACCACTGCCCCTTCTGACTGTATTGTGCTAAGCCCAACCAGTGAGGATTTTCCATGATCCACTACTCCATTGGCTAGGAATTGGTAAGTGGCAATGGTCTCCCATGTTGGGGAGACCTGAAGAAATGCTTGAATACCCATCAGACTACCAACTAGAAAAGTCTTTTACTGGAGACAGTGCAATGGTGACCATGAAACCCCAAGCACAAACCAGAAAAGTGGACAGTCTTTTCTCTGGTGATGGTATTTTCATGATAATTCATGGAATTGGTACAGTCTGGATCAGACAGTTGAGTAAATTTGTATACCACGAGGATACCTCATGTTCTTACACAATACCTCATCTCAAAGTGGTCACTGGTAGAGCCAATCTGTTATCGTGGCTCAATGCACATTTTGAGAAATAAGCATATCCTAGGAAGCAAAACTAGTCATCTGGTGAAACACAGTTTGATGGAAATGGAGAGAAGTGAAAGGAAAACATAGCAAGTTCAAAGACAGTGAATAGACTGAAGTATGGCAACAAATGGAGATGAAAGAGCCAGACAGCAAAGATAAGAAGCATCTACGTGTGAAGAGTCATTCGCGTGCCTGCCTGAAGGATCTCTTCTGAGGTCTGGTGAAAATGAGAAGTAAGAGAATGAGAAAGGTGACAAATTGGATGCAAAGAAATTCAAAATTGGATGCAAAGAAATTCAAAATAGCCTGCAAACATTCACAACCAGGGAAGAATAAACTAACTGGAGGAGTGGACAAACCTATCTAGTAAGGATAGGAGAGAGGTCCCTAGAAGAAGAGGGGTCCTAGGGTAGGAAGATATGATGTCAGGGATCCCAAAAACATATCCGTGATAATTAACAACAAACAGTCCAAACAGAACACAGTAGTCAATCCAGGTCTGAACAATCATAGAGGTAAAAGATAGAATGAAGGGAGATGGGAATAAAAGGACAGTTATCCTCCTGGGTGGAAAAAGTCTGAGGAAGGAAAACTGGCCTGAGTAGACGAGTATGAAAGTGTGGTGGAGGAAGGTGCAAGAAGCATCAATAGCATAGATATCTAAATGACAGCAACCACAAGTGAGAAGGAGAAGATAAGATGTGAGAGAATGATGATACAAAGAGCAAGAAGCCAGCGGTTCAAATGAGACACTCATGAGAGCATACAAAACCACATTAGGGACCCAGTCAGACATGGAAGTTGGGCAAGGAGGTCAATGAAGAAGGAAGGAGAAGAAAACACTCTGTGGTGCTAGGAAAGGTGAAATGTAGTGGACAATGTCACCTGATAACCAGCAATAGTGGAAATTGACAAATTATGGTCAAACAACTAATTAAAAAAGGCAAAAAGTGGTTCATAGTAGGATAGCCGGGAGGAAAGGAGTGGCAGATAGAACAATAATAAAATACTGCCACTTTCATCAACAGGCAGACAAAGTGGAAGAGCAACACAGAATATGACAAGAAGAAGACTATATAATAGGAAAGTCTGGCCCAAGAGACAATGAACTGGAAAAATCCCACACATGAAGATGGCAGAATGACATCCCTTGATGAAAATAGAGGTGTAAGGTTGAAGAAAGAGTGAGGGGACATTGGGTATATGAAAGATGGATCTGGACACCAAGCAAAGAAGCAGAAGAAACTATGGATAGGTTGGCCAAAGAGGCATTGCAGTTGGACTTCAAAAGGAGTATCACATATCAAAACAAGGACCCAAGGAAGGAATCAAAGTGGAAGATAGGTATATAGAAAAAGGTTATTCCAGTCCTGGCTGAGAGCTTTGACAGCCAAAGCCAAAAGATAAGGAACAGGGGACCAGAAGACACAATGATTGGAGTCAAGAGGTGTTGGATATACAAGAGTGTTTAGTGTAAGTGTTATTATTTAACTTATTTTGTGAGTTAATATTTAATGATTGTTTAGTTTTCATGACAAGAGTGTTAAAAGTTAATCATTTTAAAGGCGATAGTTATGACAAGTTTGGTTGCGTAACTCAGTAAGAGTCGTATGTTGTGTGTGTGGTTCAATTGTTGTAGTATTGTTGACCCCAAGTTACTGAAATCTTTGTTATTTTTCTCCTTACCTTGAATGAGTATTGTTAAGTTAGAGCATCGTTTACGTAGTTTGTAAAAAATTCCAGGCCTCAGTGCACAACATATAAATATAGGTGACCAAGTGAGTGCAAGTAGCAAAGTTAAAAAAAAGAAAAGTTCAGTCAAGTGAAGTGAAAGTAAAAGTTCAGTCAGAAAAAAGTTAGAAAATGTGAAGTTAGCCAGCTTGTGAGTGATTAACCATAACGGGTGATATTTTAAAGTGAGTTTCACAGTTTAATAGAGATAATGAGAATAATTTGTCTTGTCAAAGGATGTTCTAAATAATTGAATCCATCAGTGTGGACTCTGATGAAAAGGAGACAATTATTTAAAGTTCAGGATACAACTGTGGTAATCCATGGGGTAACATAAGTGAATTATTCATGATACTATTGTGATAAGAGTAGTAGAAATAATAATTCATCTTGTCAATTGGATTCTAAAGTAACTGAATCAGCCTGTGTGGACTTTTGACAAGAAAAGAGAATTGTTGAGAGTTTTAACTAAAACTGTGATATCTTATAGAGTAAAGAATTTTTGTACATTTCACTTGTTTTGAATATAATATTTTAAAACAAGTGGATTGTGTGCTGTGCATTTATTGTTTGAATTTATCACCAACAAGTCACAGACACCTACTGCAGAAGAATCCCAGCCCATATACATAAAACCCTGACAAGAGGGATGGCAGAGGCATCTATGAGGAGTGTGTCCAACTGAGAGCAAATCCAAGAAAGACTTGGTGGTGAAGAGACAACTCCATGAGAAGAATTGAATCTGGAGAAGAGAGGCAGTCCATCACAAGGTACATAGCTCCTGGTACATGACAGACAACAAAACAAACCTGATGTGAATAAGACCAGAAGAGTAGGTCCAAGTCCAAAACCAAAGAGTCATGGAATGGGTGCCCCCTTGACAGCTAATGTAAGGAATAGCTATGGAAATGACAAAGTAGATTATGACCTTTTGATCCACCAAAAGGGGCAAGAAATGGAAACATTCCCAACAAACAGTGAGAAGTTGGAGCTCAATGATGTTGAGTCAATGCATCCAAATGCAGAAGTCATGTTGTTGTCAAAGAGATACACCCCAAGCTGAGACAGAAGCATCAGCAAAGTGTGATAGATCTGGTTCGGGAGTTGGCAAGGGAATGCTATAAGCAGTATTGGCAGAGTCTAGCCAATAAATATATATTTGCAGATACAATCTAAAATCTTATTTGCCCTAGTACCAGCAGCAGCACATTGCTTGGATGGCTTAAGAGACTGATCAATCATTATACCAAGATGCCTCTCTTTCATGACACTGTAAAGGTTATTTCCATCCAAATAATTATACTTATAATTCAAATTATGATAACCCTCATGCATTATCTTGCATGTATTATAATTAAAACCAATCTGCCATTTATTTGCCCAACTAACTAAATGATCTAAGTCCTTCATATCATCAGCAAATTTAAGTATTCATGTGTGTATGTGTATGTGGCAGTTTTAGATGAAAAATATTTTCACAAAGTATTATTACCTCATTTCACAATTTAAAATTTTTGTATTTTAATTCAAAATCTCTTGAATAACATTTACTGATAAAACTTCTGTAGTTCTATGCTTCCAAAGAATACAAAACTTACCAAACTTATTCAAACTACTTTTTTTTTGTCAAATTACCTAAAGACAATTGGACTTTCTGGTGTCAACTTTCCTAAACAAAGAGCTTTGCTACTTGCCATTAAACAAAAATCATATGTGTATATATATATATATATATATATATATACATACACAACAAAGAATAATTTAATTGAGCAAAACATCTCACCTCTACATAAATCCCTTGAATGAAATTTGGTTGAGCAGGTATAACAAATTCTACTGATCCATCAAGTTCTGAAGAGAAATTCTTGCAATGTTTAGGTGCTGACATATCAAACCGTTGATAAGCTTCATAACAAATTTCAATAATTTCTGCTGGTGCTGGTTTTCCATCAGGTTTTTTTACATCAATCTGGATGTTTGAAAGCATTAGAATTTAAGTCTTTGTTTTTTAATTAATGTAAATGAAAAATAAGGTAACATTAAAATAAAGGAAATCATTTGTTCAACTAAATATTAGACATCAAAATATATAAAAAAAGATCAAGGAAAAAAATACTATATTATTCCACTCATTTACAAAAAATGAAAGAGTCATATATTATATCTCAACTAGTCAGTATTAAGCATCATTTTCTATCAATTTTCATTTACCATACTATTTGAAATAACAAATGAACACAAACGACCATTAATTTATGTTACTGTCAATACAATGTTAAAAAATAGGTTAGGAAACAAAACAAAAAAGAAATTTCAAAATAAAATATTTATAAAATCCCTCACTTTTCCAAAATATGGAAGGCTCAAATGAAAATGAGGTGAGTGCAGATCCACATTTGGAAAAGTCAGCTCAATGGGTACAACAACCAGATTAAGTTCTTCAGTGATACTTTGCATGACATCTATAACAGACACAAAAGTTTACATATTCTATAGTAAAATTATTACATTTCAAGAAAATAATGTTTATTACATCGTATTTGAATATATTACCACTATTTTAACCACCAAGTTAAAAATAATGCCTGAAAAAATTTATATCATTTACGCTGTTTTTAATGATTTTTCTAAGCCATCCTAATCAGGTAAATACTTTTTCATCAGAGATATTTTTCTAACCAATAACAATCCTGTCACAATATCAAATGTCAAGGGTTTCATTCTATGTCAAGATTTTAATATGGGTATTAATATATTCAAAAGAACAGTTATATACAGAATAAGAAACAAACACCATATAGTAATTTGATATTGACTAGCTGTCATCATCAAATTAATTAATAATTATAAATAATTTAGATATTTACCTTACTGTATTTCACTGTATATCAACAAATAATGAAGATATTATTTATCAATAGATGCTGTGAAAGCCAACCATGGAAACTAAAGCAGTTGTAGGAAAATGTATAGTGAATATTAACAGCCTAGATGCCATGTTTTATTAAATACTCTGAAACTTTATAGACCACTAATTTTATTAACAAAGTTGATTCTTATTTAATACTTACATTTTACTATTTTTCTATTTTAATTGAATATTACTCAACTTAGTTTTTTTTTTCCAGTTGTACACATGAAAGAAATTAATATTCTATGATGTCTTAAGTGTTTAAAAAACTAAGGATATTTAAAAGGTTACATACATGTTTGTTTCTCAATAACAGTGGCTTTTAATATGATTGTTTGGAAGAAGTATTTCTCAGTTTTCCATTTCAAAATTTCTTCTTGAATAACTAAATCAAAGCAGCCATTAATCTGTAAAAAATTCACATTTATTATGACAAAAATATCTAGTTATAGAAATATATATTTTCAACTCTTTTCATGACAATTAAATATCCACTTTTGTGTGAAAACTTTGTTATAATTCCTTAATGAATTAGTGCTCCTTTAGAGGTTAATTTTTTTGTAAAACTAATTTTTCCTCAATGGTAAATACAAAAATGTCAAGGACATATATTTTTGGCCAGATGAAATCAAATGTAATTGTTTGTTAACATTTTCATAAACCTTTTTAAACAACAGCCTACATATCAGAAAACATACATGACCACCATACTGAATTCTAATACTTTCAGTGTATATCAGAGATTGTAGATCTTCAATTCATCATTATTGTATAATGTAGTACATTAAAGTACTAGATCAGAGTAAACATGCCAAATTTAACATGTTGTGTAAAAAATTAGAAAATATAACCACAACAGGAAACAAGGACACAGAAATTAAATATGGTGATGTTTCATGCTAGTGCTCTTTGTTAGATCATAAAGCTTAGAACAAAATGCACTTTTACCTAAGCTTACTATCTCACAATGAGCACTAGCTCAAAACTTCATCTTCCAGAAATAAAAATATATAAAACTTGGAAATTTTGTAACATAATCATTAACTAACATGTCATGTATCAGGCTGTATAAGTAATTCTAAAGGAGATAAGAATATAAAATCTTATGAACTTCTCGAGGAGTAAAAATTAATGAAATATGGGTAAAAAAGAAAGAAAGAGACGTTAATAACCATCAAGTTGTGCATTATGAAGGAAGGGGATCTAAATCCTATATGGTTTAATTCCTTAGCTGTTTCATACCATACAGATTTTCCTATGGAAGATGTGTATGTTAAACAGAAACATGAGGCTAGTATGGCTACCCAAATCTCAGACATCAATAGTCAATGACATCCAATGATCCTGACATTCTTATAAAAGTAATTAAGAAAAAACGTTTGACTATTTTACAAAGCCATGGTTTTCATAACCCACTGATGAAAAGTCAAAGCCACAAGGAAAAATGTTCTATGAAATCTCTAACAAAAATAGCGGGTACAAAAAGTCTATATAAATAAAGACAATGAAACTTACACACTGGTAATGAAACTTACTTTCAGCAGTATTTCGTATCTCATGAATACAAAGAAACAATTAAAAAAAAATGAGTCACTATAAAAGTATATAAACCTAAAATCAAATTTTATATGAGGATTTTAAAGTTTTATTTGGCATAATAAAGAATGATCTGACATACATTAGTTTTTGAAAGTAAGTGTCACACCACCCTAAGATATATTAATTTCTAACCATAACAATTTGGGAGTAAGTCTGATTGTTTGAGTGAGTTAATTTATTGAGCAGTATATCCCCTTTCTCTTGGGGAGGTTTTATGATCCACTTCTAATTCTGCAAGATAAAAGTATCATTCGAAGGTGCCTTCATCATCATCTACATCTTTGAGTCATTCACTCTCTGCTTTCTGGTGAAGCCAGTGTTGCACAGAGTCATCAGGAACACAAAATTTCATCTTATCAACATGCTTTAGTGCAAAATGCGGCTACTTAATAATGTAGTTTGACTGAATGAGTCATTACACATAAGATAAGGTCTGCGTCTGCCAGATCTGAGTGGATTACACGATGCTGGAGTATACCAGAACCAAGCTCAGTCTCTTCATTCAAACTGATGTTCTTTCTCTCTCACCATATTCTGTCTCTTAATCACTTCACACCTACTGACATGCAAACTTGTAAGCATCAACTAACATAAATCTTAACCATTTCACACATTATTGTGATAATTCCCACAATTCTGCATCTTATGGGGATCATACATAAAATGAACTGGGAGCATAGCTTCTTGTCCAAATATGTTAATGTGTGGAGAACAGTTGATAGATTAGTACTCTATTATGTAGTATGCCATCAGTAAATATGGCATGGGATCATTCAGTTACTTTGATTTGAACCGACAAATTTAGAAAACTTGTGTTTAACAGTTGGATTATCTGCTCAGTTAAACTACCAAACTGAGGATGATAAGGTAAAGTATTCACTATACTCTGTACCTTACACAACTCAACACAAAAATAACTATTGAAGTTTGTTCTTTTATCAGTAAAGATCTGCTATTGTGCTCTGAAATTAGTTATCTTTCAACTAATCTTTCAATGGCTGTTTGAACCAGTGTATTAACCAGTGCACACATTTTAGCCCACTTAGTGGATGTAATCAAGACCATGTTAAGAGTGGCAAAATCCAGGGATATTCTTTGGAATGGAGGATGCATAATTCACTGAGGTAGTTTTCCCTGGCATGGACTTTTTTGAGCTGCACAGGCAATGCAGTGTTTATGCCATCACCTTGCAAGAATATGATTAGTAACACCATTCCTGTTATTTGGCTTAGCACAATAAACTCACTGATGTCCTCCGATCCATGTATTGTGCAATATTCAGATAATCTTGAGTCTTACAGATCTTGGGACAAATATTTTCATGCCAGTTAGTTATTTGTTTTCAAATTTTTCTCACCATTCTGTGGTAGTTGTGTTTCACTTTTTTACACAATACATAGCATCCAAAGCGATCTAGTTCCTCACATACATTTTATTTCCTAATATTTGGTATCCATTCAGTAGAATAGTCACTATTTCCACTGTTTATTTTCATGGCTTCCACTACAGCATTATGTACAAGATCTGAATGTTCTACAAATAGATAAGTCCTCACCTGAAAGAATGTCTGTCTGCATTTCCATGCTGCCAGCGGGGTAAGTGTTGTAGTGTAAAGCTATACTCCTATAATGTCATGACCCAATGTACAATCATACCTTCTGGTTCTCTAAAAATCATCAGATATTTTAATGACAAGTGATCTACTCAAGCACTACATTTTCTACCATACAAGTAGTACTGAAAGTACTTGACAAATACTATGAAAACAAACAGTTCTTCTTTGTCATACACTTATAGCATTTGGCTCATTTATGCTATAACACACTTCAAACCATTCTATACTTGCAATTAAACTACCACTGGCATTTATATCCGAGGTGAATGGAATATCTTTCATTTGGTTAGCTAAGAATCTTTTTCATTGGATAAACTAATACTAAATCATCAAAAAAGGCACATTTTAGTGACTGGAATAACTTTAAACAGTCCATTCCAACTGGGAATATATGTTAAATTAATGTTGAAGTGGTGCTACTATTGTACAAGAGTTGTCCTTAAGGTATCTATGATCTGACATAAAGCCTAGAAAGCTTCAGCATCCTTGTTGCTCCTTAGTTCCAACTAGTGTACTACTTCATTTATCTTAGCTGTATCTTTAAGCACTCCATCTCTACTCACTAAATGTCTGACACATACTATATGCAAATGTACAAGAAAGATTTATCTGGCATCAGTTTCAGGTGTGCTTATTGTTAACACTGAAATACCATGCCCAGGTTTTCAGCTGAAACCTGAAACCCAACATCAGAATATTTTTGATTAAATAATTTCTGTAATTTAGTTTCTCTTCAGTGTTTTTTTTTTTTTGTAGGATTTATTTTCAATTTTATTATATCATTTAATATATCCTCTGTTTTAAAATTATAACCTATGTTTTTCATCATAAGTGTATCATTTCATTTAAGTTTTTGTTTTGGATAATTTTCACTAAGAGTTTTATAACTATTAATTCTTCTTTTCTAAGATTAGTAAACTTATACTCAGAATTATAACTACTGAAGAAAGATATAGTTATACTTCAAATGTACTGATGTGCAGTTGAAGTGGCAATTGAAAAATTGCTAGTTTGAGTGACTTGTCTTTCATGCACTATAACAATAATAATCTCAGCCATTGACTTCATTACTTGTTCATCATAATTAAAAACCATAAGAAATATATCTCACTGTTGTAGAGACAACTGTCTAAACAAGTGCAGTTTGTGTTTTGAAAGAAAACTGCAGTTCATTTGGCACACAGACTCTACTTGCATGTGATTTCTGGTGGATATTGTAATCTAAGATGACAATACTTGATCCAAGGTATTTAATAATAACTCTTGTACATTTAGTGATGCTATTAACAATCATAAAATGTCATGTTTCTCCATTCACCAGAAGCCTATCCCGATTTGCAAGGTATTTACTGGCCAAAGTGGTGGTTTACATGGTAATGACTAGTACATTATCAGATCCAATACAGTTCTAGTTGCTCCTTTATCATCTAAAACCTCTACCTTGCATCTATGCTCTTTCACAGGAATGTAATAAATTATGATCCGCTCTATAGATACTGAGCCAACACTCACACCATCAACAACCAAAATCATTCTGGTTGTAGCATGTATCTATCCATGAACCATGATGTTCCTCCATCTTCATCATCAGCATGGATGGAGGAGCACATTCCATCTCATGGATTGTAAAGTTGGATATGGCAAATTTCGGACTTTTCTTTTTTTTTAAAAATCTCCAAAAAACAATTAGGAGGATTTTTTGTTTCTTGCCCTGCCACTCAAAAAAATAGATTTTTCACACAGAAATTTTACAATATTTAGCCAGCATACACTAAGTTTTCTTGGAATCATCTGTAACAATGATGATATCAATACCACTATATTATAAGTCTATATAAACAATATACTTGCATTTGTCTATCTGGAACTTTTCTTGCAGCTTTCTCAATCAAATGCTACAAATCTCATATCATTAGGAAAGCCTTTGTCCAAGGAGTCCAGATAAGCTTTTCAATTCAGAATCACCTTACCTGTTTTTTCCTTAGTCAAACTTTTCAATGCAATGAGTATACTACAAGATGTTACAATGTCATTGCCATCACATGATGATTGGCTTCAATTTCAACTTTAGTTTTTTACTTGCAAAGTATTTCACAAATAACACTTAAACCACATGTAATTTCCTAAGAAAAAAAATTAAATTTACACTAAATACAATTTCTATTGATTTTCTCAACTTATTTATATCTAAAATATGCATGTGCAGTTCTTTCAAAACCATATGCTTATCACTTTGTGAACATACATTCAAATGTTTCTGCATATTTAGCTAAGTTTGCTTTCATAACATCTTTACATTTACTTTACTTTGCAAAAACTTAGCTTTGCTTCATTTTGTAGACTTTATTAAACACCTTTTAGCTACTTTTATATTTACTATGTTTTATTCTTCGTTTTTGTGAGTTTCTTTGTTTCAGTTTGTAAAACAATGTCATACACTGAATGCTCATAACTGTTTCATACTCTGTAGACTAGTATAAATACCACTACTTTACATGTAATTTTAATAAAAACACATCTTTGTGAGTTTCTTTGTCTGATCTCGTAAAATGTTTTCAAATAGAAAAGGATTTATCAGTCTAACACATAATGCCTGAAAGAAAGCATATTTAAATGCATGCATGATAATGATAGAATAAAGAAAATTCAAACAAAGAGGATGAAAACTACTGCAAATGTTTTGCAGGTCGCAGCTAGTACACAAATAATTTCTTGTAAAATAAATTTGTTTTGAAAATTACAACTATAACATATTTTCAACAAAACAAAAAAAGAAATAATATATATATATATTATTCATAAATTTACTTACATTTCCTTCATGGTTAAGGAATGGTAAATTAATAGATTTTTCTTTAGAAAATGGCACATAGGTCACAAATGCCTTAAGAGTACCTTCAACATTCTGACCATATGTATGCCTAGGAAATAAATAACAAATTTTCATAGTTAATCTCATCATTGATGTATTTTTGTAAAAAGAAAATAGCTTGTGATATTACTACCTGTGAAATAATGACCAGGCAAGTCAACATATTAATCTTAAAATGCTTATAATGAACTTAACACAGTATAAGTAATAATTTCAAAAGACTATCCAAAAATGCTAATGCAAAAAATAATTCAAAAACTTAATCAACAGGTATATATACCTTTTATTAACTGTATTATTTTATAATAAATGAAATAAAATCAAATGAAATTATTAAATTGTTGCTTTCCATCTAGTTATTTGATTTACCTGATCAAATAAGAAAAAATATTTCAGTAAAAACTTATTACAATGAACACAACATTTGAAAATGTTTTAACTTCTCAGATATCTATATTTTCTTGAGAAATATAAAACAGTTACTCATAACTAATAACTATTCATAAACTTTTGACTTGAGAAACATTGTGGCTGATTATTAATGTCAATACATACTTGGCACAAATCTTCCATGTAAAATGGTCAGTATCTGCCAGCACATAAGGAGGAGGACTAGCAACAACATAAAATTTTGTGGGAGCTAAAAGATGGAAAGAATTAAGTAGTTTGAAATCAAAGTAAAATAAGTAGATTAATTTTGGTTAAAAATGTAATAAATATACTGAGTAAAGGAGCTACAAGTCTAAATGCTACACTTTTATTTAACAAAACAACAATGGTTAAATAAAAGAAATTTTTATTGTTGATTAATTGTAAACATAATATTCAATACATTACTACATTACTGATATTACTTTCAAACCTAAAGTGTTATATTCTTTGTTGGAAAAATGTTTAACGACAATGTAATCATATGTATTGCTGAAAACCTGTAGACAATAATCAATAATACAACATTCAAGAGAAAAGTGAAATATATTAGAATTTCAAAAGTTGTACTAAAGCTTATTGTTTGTGTACGCATATGAATACAAACACACACAAAACCTCATGCTTCTGTAAGATATGCATGACTGTTTCAATCTAAATTTAATGTGAGTGTTATGATTTAGATAGTTTATTTAGAGCAAGTGTTAAATTTAGTTATTTTCAGAAGTGATAGTTTATCGAAAGTTTCTTTACATAACTGTTTACAAAACATATATTGTGCAGTTTAATAGTTATGAATTGGTAATTATTATATTATTGTGTCATGGTACTAGAGCCTTCTGAGTTTTTCTCAGTGTTTTAATTGAGTATTATCGCATCATAATATCTAGTAGAGTATGGAACATTATAGACAGGGTATAAATACTCATCAGAAATTTAGTTCAAGAGATGGAACTAGACTGCATGATTGTAAATTTAGCAATAAAGACTGTGTAGTGGCAATTTTTAAAGTGAAATTATCACAAAATGTATTGTAATAACAGAGTAGAAAGAATAATTCATCTTGTCAAATTGTGTTCTGAAGTAATTGAGCCAGCCTGTGTAGACTTTGACGAAAAATATAATTATTTAAAGCTCTAGATACAATTGTGATATCCAAGAGTGTAATGAACATTGTATATACATTTGACTTGTTTTAATATATTATATTGAAACAAGAGGACTGTGTGCTGTTTGTTTACTACTGAAATATATTGCCAACAAGTCACAAACACCTACTGTTATGGTGTATTTCATGTGGATGTTAAAGTATTAATTACAAGCCCATTATTGGGGCACTTTTCTTAAAAATGTGTCAATAAAGGATTCACATTAAAGTGTCACTAATGAAAGAGTCACATTCTCTGTAATTTGAGGTCAAACAAAACAGTGTAAGGCAATATACAAAAAAATTTCTGTTCAATACTTAAAGCTAAATACTTCAATGATTTTTCAGAAGATTCAATTACAAAATTATTAAGCAACCATTAGATATAATGAAAAACAAAAGTATTGGTACCCTACACTCAATATAAGATAATTCATGAAAACATGTGAAATACAAGAAATCAATGAACATTATCCTATAATTAATGTGATAAAATGTAACATTTTCTAACACTGAAAATGTATTTCCAACAGGTACTTACCTCCTTTCACAAATAGCTATCTCGACCTTCATTAGCCCTCTAGGCATTAGTAAAATTTTTTGAACAGAGCATCAGTCTTTTATGCCCCTATATTTTTTTGTATAATTGCAACATGTGCTGATCATGTGACCATCCACCATTGCTGCACAATCCTCACTTTCCAGAATTGGCATGTACAAACCCAAAAACCTCGGCAAATCAGTGGGAAGGAAGGGTGGGAAGTTGGTGAAAGGAAGTGAGTACCCATCAGAAATATATTTTCAGTGTTAGAAAATGTTAACTTCTGAAACAGTACAACCTCCACTCCCCCTTACCTAGAATCCCACAATAGAAGGTGGAGGGCTGATGAAGGCACAAAAACAAATAATCAAGTGGAGAGCAACAACTATGAAAAAAAGCAGGTGTGCCACAAATAAAATATGAGGCAAACCTGTGGGGTATAGCATTACTTCTGGAACTGGTATGCTCTTCACCCAGTAAAAAAATAAGACATTTAGGTCAAAAATGAATAGAATATGTAGCTAGGGCTAGCAGACCATATATGAAAAGGCCAAGTTCAGTCTGCCCAGATGAAAAACATCCAGGGGAAGCACCTTGGGATAAAACATATTATTTCAAGTGCAGTCCAAAGACAAAAACAACATGGAAGCGCCTTGCATTGGTTTGTAAAATCAACAAATGTGGTCCGCCCAGGCAAAAATATCCAGGGGAAGTACCTTGGATTGATATGATACCTCTATGGTCCACCACTCCAGCAACTGGGAACCAGAAGTGGCAAGGGCCCCTGTGATCCACTAGAAGAAAGGGGGGGAGATGCATTAATGGGGGGTCCAGAGGAAAAACCCACTGGACACAGTACTATGGGTATCTGGGTTTCCCTATTTTAAAAAGTAGAAAGACTTGGTAGTAAGAATCAAGAGTCAGGGTCAGTGGGGATGGCAAAAATTCCTATCCATGAGTGATGGTCCTCAGGAGATACACATAGATACATATTGATTTAAAAAAGTGATATACAGATACACCATCAGAAAAGCATTCAGTTGTCTTACAGAAACACCCCATCTCCACAGTGAGTGTCAGAGAAGTATACAGATATAGTGCTAAGATATTAAATTCAGCATACCTGACCAAGAAACACCTGCAACCAGGTGGGATCCTGAAATATGATTTATAAGCATCAATAAAAAAATAATGATAATATGATGACTCACCCCAGTCACAGGTGAACAGATGTGTGTAGAATTACCACAGGAGGAGGGTGATATCTGTCAACGAAGACATAGTGAAATTGTGCAGAGAAAGAGTGTCAAAAGTAGAAGTTGTCCACATACTGTCCTGAATGATCTTCTCCAAACAACAGCAGTGTTGAGCAGCTAAAGATAGAGTTAGACGACAAATTTGTTGTGAAGAAACAATATGTAGATGGTGACTGGCCAGAGACACATCCAAATACACCAGGTGTAGGAGTTGATGAACCCAACCCATGACTGTAATAGGAGAAATATCAGGGGAAACAGGAATGCCATGGAACAATTAGACAGGAATGAAAACAATGAAAGGAGACAGTACAAACCAAACAATAGAGTAGGAAATGAACTGGACAAAGGAGATGATCCAGAAAAGAAAAGACAAAACAACCTTGCCAGGAGGGGGAGTATTGAGGTCATAAGAGAAACGTGACAAGGAACAAATTGCAATGAATTCAAAGGGGGAACCAGACAAGATAGGAAGAACAACATGGAGATTCCAATGTGGCAAAACAAAGAAAACATGTTGGATGAACCAGACGAAGAAATGGAACAACCCAGTGAAGAAAAAACACAATAAAAGAGGAAGAAAGGAGGGAGTTCTACATGGTAGCTCTATACAGAGCAACAGTTGAAACAGACATACCCTGAACAAACAACCAGATTAACAGCCAGGATAGGTGAGGAACAGAAGAACAGGAGGGTTAGAAACCATGGGAAATAGACCAAAGAATGAAGCAAGACTTATGCCTCTGGTACATAGACAAAGAGTAGAGCAAAAGGTGTAGGCAATGAAAGATGCGACACAAGGGTTGATTCCCTGAGCTAAGACATGGGACTGGACAAAAGACATACAGCAAGATACAACATGGTGACACTGGGATGAAAAACAACAGATTGCAATGAAAATAAAAATGGGCTTGGTCTGTTGCTCCAGCAGGAGCCAGAGCATGGGTAACTATGTTGGAGTTGGCCAAACCTGAGCAACCAACAGAACACAAGGAGTGGACTAGATAAGGGAAAAGACCCAGAATAGGAGAAATCAGAATAGAGGGTAGGCATATAAGAGCAAGCCCCTGAGCTTTAAGAAGGAGTGTAGAGACATTTGGATGAAAAAACGTCAGATCGTGGATGACTGATGAACAGACAGGACAGAGAAAAGGATATAGGGCCAGAGCAGAAGGAACCACATCTGAGCACCCAATACAGAAGAACCTGCAGAGCACAACAAGGTCTGGTCTGGATAAGTCAAATTGGAGGGTAGGCATATAGATGAAGACTCCTCCAATCTGGACAGAAAGCATCTATCTCCACAGTTGAAGGGTGAGGAACTTAAGACAAAAATAAAGGAAAAAAGTGTGACATACCAGTGAATGGAAACACATGCAAATATGCAGTGCTCCCTGTTGAGAACACACCCACAGAAAAATGTGAGGATGAAGAGACCACACTGTGAAGAATCTGGTGGGGACATGATAAGAGATCGGACCCAAGAATCATGACTCAGGGAACATGACCCACTAGAATAGTCATGTCAAGGCCACTGTCCCAGTACACAAAATCCAGAATATGACCAGATAGAGATCGGAACATGGTTCCCCCTTTCTTAATGATAAGGCTGATGATAGTGGAATTGTCAGAAAGAACCATAACCACCCTCCCCTGCAGGAAAGAAAGGAAAGGATACAGAGCCCAATGAACTGCCAAACTAACAGGATGTAGATATGGAGAGTATCTTCCTTGACTGACCACCAACCCAAAAACTCAGGGGAATCGAGGAAAGTGGATGGTCCAAGGGATTGTGAGGAAAGTTCCACTGGTCGAGAATTATCCAATGAAGGGAATGCATGTATGACCAACCCAAGGGAGTGAGCACTTCCAAGGAAGACCACATCCAAAAAGAGAGAGAACCTTACGGATATAGAGAGAAGGAGAAGGGATGGTAAACATGACTGCCTGCTCAATATCCTGAACCCAAAGTGGAGAAGGCTGGGCTCAACCAAAAATGGAAGTAAAGAGAACCCCCCAAATGAATAAGATACTGTAAAAGGGTAGTAAAAGACTTCTCCAACCACAAAAGAAACCCCACCTGAGAAGCATCACAAAGAAGGAAGTGGGTGTGAATGACAGACGAAGCACAGGAAGAGGCGAAAAGATGCCTGTCATCCATGAAATGTGAATCTGAAGACCCAACAAGCAAAGATGATGTGCAAAAGAGCATATCACACCACAAAACACAAACAGAACTGAAGAAAGACAGTCTGTGAGTGCCCAGA